TTTTGCAATTTGAGCAGGGAAAAAAAAAGGGAAAAAAAAACTATAGAAAGAAAAATAACAACACATGGAGAAGAAAGAGGAAAGGGGATAACACCCGAAGCAGTTTTCAGCAAAGGCAGTTCTTCCCCAGCCTTTGTGTACCTGTCGGTAAGGAAGGAACATGTCCCGACTTGCAGCAGTCCCCGGAGAGCATCGGAGAGGAACGTGGCTTTGGTTAAAGCACTGCCAGGCTGCTCCTGCTCCTCTTTCTTCTGCCAGATTCTGGGAACCACGGAAAACTGATGCATGAAGCACAGATGAATGTCCGTTTCTCCAGATGTAAACCTCTGTTACTAAACAGGATCGTGCTTCACTTTCCTTGCTCTCGGTAAAGCTTCRTTTTTTGTTACAATAGGGACAAAATATCTTCTTTTGGAAATAAACAGTCTGTGTCCTATCCTTTGGAAAGAGAAGAAAATTCCTCACAATAAAAGAAATAGTCAATTAAAACAGAAAGTGCTCTGTAGCATAAAYGTAATTTAAACATGAACTGCTGCCAGAGATTAAAAAAAACACAATTTTCACATTTTAGTTCATGCTGCTTTAAACTACTTCTTAGTGAACAGTGTTTAMGTTTTTTTTTCACTTTTCACTTTTTCACTCATTTTGACCATATTTGAACRTTTTGACCATATATGGTCAAACAACTATATGCAGGCTTACCCCCTGAATGCCATATGTGGTTATTTTGACCATACATAGGCATTATTATATATAGCATCAAACAGCCAAATATGGCAATATGGCAGAGATGCCCATATATGGCCATTTTTGGTTATATATGGCTTTATTTAGGCATCCATCTGATTGACATATTTGAACCTTTTGACCATATATGGTTAAAATACATATATGGGAAAAACACCCATATTTGGGCATCCCCACCTGATTGTCATATTTGGCTATTTTGCACATATATGGGCATACTCATGATTACCTACTACCCACCAGTTGATGGCTGGTACTAAAAGCAAGGCTCTTTCTTAGCAAACAAACAATAATGTCACTCCTCCTTTGCATTCTTACCATCAGCTGCAGACCTTGCTATGTGGGCAGGGCAGAGGTATAACTCATAATAGATTCAATCTAGAAAAAACACCGACTTAAAAATAGACAAAAATCATTTACAGAGGTAACTCAAAAAGTCAACTACCAATGGAGAAAGACACCAATTCTTCATTTTGAATTGGCACTTGATGACAAAAATAGATGGGATCAGAACTGTCAGAAACTTCTGTACAATCTAGTAATGATCACACAGCCGCAATGCTAGGCAGGCCCAAGTGTTTCAGACTAACTTCAAACAATAGTTGGACTGTTTAAAAATGCAACAACGGGGAGGACTTTTGCCTGCAGGCATACTGCATTAAGGTAAATTGCTTTCAAATGAACATTTGGTTTCTCAAAACAAAAAYGGATATTAAACTGCAAGTGGAGGTCGCTCTTGGAGCCATAAAGCACAGTATTCAGCCAGCCAGCAGAGAATCCACTATGAACCATAGGAAGGTAGCTTACATTCGGTGCAAAGGAGACAGGAATGGGTCTACCTTTGTGGTCCAGATTACTCATTTTACTCTTCCTGCTTTAGGTCTTAAGGCTATCGAGTCTGCATCTCATTTGCAAACTTTCCCAACTACCAGGAAATTGATTTTTCTCCGTATTTCCTTGTGAGGAGACACCAGACCACACGACTCCTAACCATGGCTGTTAGTCAAGCTGCCATTTATATCATATAGTCACCATTTTATATCTTAAGCATTGACCTTTAAGAAGTTAAAAACATTATTTCACTTTCAATATTCTGAGTTTAATGGCTCTGGAAGTGATTAACAGCACTGCCTTAATGTCGTCAAGTCCTTGCATGCTTGCTCACCATCTTCTATTAACGTAACTTAATYGTTAACATGCTGCAACACCCCTGGGCTTCTATTTCTAGTTCAGGGAGGTTATTAGACCAGCAATAAGCAGCAGTGGAYTTGCACCATTGGCAGGCTTCACTGCTGCTGAAAGCAAAAGAATTAAATCRGAGATTGCTTTGCCTCTGCGGCTCTTCTTCCTCTCTTCCCCAAGGAGGGAACCATCACTACCTTTGTGWGAGTTAGCTGGTTTTTTCATTACAAATTTTTTAAATCCCATTTTGCTAACTTTCTCTCACGTCAGTTGATGTCCAGCATTACTTCATTGAAACACAGGCGAACAGAATTTCCTCACAAAAATACGGCTGGAATGGAAGGATCCAATCTGGATCCAATCCCCCACCCAATCTGGGGGAAGAAAGGATTTTTTTTCTCATCTGCTCTAATCAAAAAACTTTAAAGATTGWCTGAACAAAAAGTTAGTCCTTACGATGACTGTGCACCATTTCCACACTGCTTTCTCCATTCTCAACCTGGGCAAAAAAATAACGGAAAAACAGAATTAAAAGATACGACAAGCTCATACTCTTGTGAAGGGACAAATCACCATACACAGTCCCACCTTGAAGGACATTTTTCAYCTGTCTGTGTAACAAACCTCAATGCCATCATCTGCTGCCCTTACCACACGCTTTACAAGAAAATACAATAAATACTGAACAATTATGAAACATACCATAAGATACGAAGTTTTCCTGAAGCTCAGCAGTTAGTCGTTTCACCATAATATAAAAGGGCTCGATCACTTCATTATTGCAGTAATTCCTTATTACAGCTCTAGAAAACTCTCCAAAACATTGCAAACCAAGTGACACGGGGCATTTATCTCATTACGCACACTCTTTTCTTGCCTAACACACACTGTTACACAAAATACGTGGTTATGCATCAAARTTTTCTGCCTTTCCCAGCCATTGGAAAAGGCTGCTGTAGAAAAGGTCTCAGAGGACACGTGAGCTGACCCACCAGCTCACTGGTGGGACCAGGGCCAAGCAGGAGACCCTGCTCCTCATGCACCCTTGTGTTGGTGCATTCTGGCATTCCCTTGACCCTTCATTTGGCCAATTCAGTCTACTCCACCTGCAGAAAATAAACTCAGCAAAGCAGCATCCAGGTTTAAAAAACCACAGTGAATGAACGTGCAGGGCCAGGGCCACCCAYCTGCAGAGCAGCAAAGCAGCCCCAGGGCAGCCCACCGCTCTCTAGATGGAGCACGTCCCACCACAGCAGCGACTTCACCTTGGGGACACCCCAGGACTCATTAGCCAGCTGTAGAAAAAAAGCTTTTTCCATAGCCTTGATTAGATCAGCAAGATAAATTACTAAGTCAAAGACAAAATAATAATAATATTATTATTAATAAAAGCACCTTTAACATSYATCATTTCATCATTTGTTGGTCTTCTGATGACTAACAAAAAAGACATGAATATACACTGCCATCTACAGGAACTCCTACTTCCTTCTATCCATCAGCATAATGCTTAAATAAAAGTTAGCATGCAAGCACACATTTCAAGACAGAGTCTGTCTGTTTCTGACCAAAGTTACTTTTCTTGATTTCCCTGACATATGCTAAGATTTTTAAAAGCAATTCTTCTAAGTTTAGAAGTGCTTGAAGGCAACTTTACTCTAATGGACACCTCAAGATATGCTTACTTTTGTAGGGGCACATGCCGCATTAATAGTGTTGAAGTTACTACACTTCAGAATCGCAGTAAAACTATGGAACCCAGCAGCATTTTGCGCCTCTATCCTCTCATTTTATCTGCTGGGCGTGTATTCCATGTGGCTATGCTGAAACTGTACTTCTCCTCCTAGATTAACTATTTAAAGTGTAGGCTTTTGTTTTCTTGCAGAGGTAACTCAGAAGGAATGTCTCCCTTCAAACTGAAAACCATTATTTCAAATAACTAAAGAACACTATATGATGCTATATGATACCTCAGTACATCCATTTCTTAACATGAATYGTTCCTATGTATTTAATGACTCCTCCATAATTAGCATCATAAAATATCTTAAAATGGCATATCCTCATAGGATCCTCAACACATCCTCRACAGTACAAATGTGTACTGTTTTAAACCATATTAATAAATGTTTATTAATCTAAGGGATATTAATGTTATCATTAAACATACTTTGTAAAATAAGCACCTCAAAGTCATAAAAATGCAAGTTCTTATCATGAAGAACAATCACTATTTCCAGGTAAAAATCTACAGAACTGATAGATCCTTTCTGGATTTTCAACAGCTTCCAAAAATTTAAATAATTATTTTGCAAGTTTAGAGATAACAAGGTCTTTTATTATTAGATTTACATCTCGCTTAATGCAATCTGATTTTTAGATACTGGGGCAAGACTGAAGTCAAACAGGTTATTAACAGCAATTCAAATGAACAATGTATTCAAAAGAACCGATCAATTTATACATCTTGTAAAATTTCAATTACTTTCCAGTACTTGTTGCTCAGTATTTATGACTAAAATGATTAATAGCACAGCAAAACCGCTATTATTTAACAATATTATTTAAACATTTATCATAGAAAAAAGTATTTTCAAGTTTGTGATGCAACATGGCAGCCAGAACCAACTACGAACCTACTTAAACTGGATAAACATTCCCATTATGAAAATTTACTGTCTTCCCAATGATTACTAAAACACGCTAACAAAAATGCATGAGGTTTCTTTTGCCATAGTAGTAACTCCTGTTCATGTATTTGGTATTGCTGGTTGAATAAAGCAAGCATCTCTTGCTAGATGCTGCCAACACTCCCACCTTCCAGCCTGCAAGGGAAACCAGTACATGGAAATACTTAAGACACCACAAGGCAGTTCAAGCTGCCAAGGATACCATTGGTTCAGGTCATAAAACAGGCACTGAATTTACAAACCTATCCTATTAGCTTGTAGATATGCTATCATATATAAAATAAACCTGTTCAATTGATATATTAACTGGAAAGAAATAAAGGAAATGTGTTTTTAAATAGATTTTTTAAAGCAAAAAAGAAGTGCAAGTATTTCCATCTCAAACTGCAGTTCATYTGGAACACGCAGTAAACAGCAGATTTTACTGCCCCTCACCACATAAACACAACTATCAAGCAGCTTGCTCAACAGGCAAAAATCAAGACAGCATCAGTCTGAACTTACATTGGGCAAGTTTTTTGTTAGCGTGCTTTTAACTTAATTATGAATGTATATTGAAATTAGCATAAGTATTTGACATTAATTATAACTATTTGCTCATGACATGACCCAGCATTGAGTCAGCAGTGTATGACAACTGTATCATTGTAACTAGTCATAAAAATCAACAGTACTTTCTGTAATTACTCTAAATATATTAATTAATCATGAATGAGGAGTAAGACATCTAGTTCTTAGGAACTGAAAAAAGAGCATTATATTTGACAGACTTTTTCTGCTTCTGAAATATAGCATAAATATGAAGCTTTCAGAAATAGCACACASAGGCTTTACTGAAGACCTAATTAAAATCACAGGTGTGCATTGAATCTTGTACTGAATGTCTGAGCAGAACTGCAGTCAATACATGGAAACCCTTACATGACTGCTGTAGAAAAAAGAATAGTTGTCATCTCCTGTTCTTAGTAGCATTAAAATTATCACTTAAAAAGATCTAAGTTAGCTTAAGCAGATGTAAAGGTATTCTAGGCACTCCTAGAATGGGGAGGTCCAGCACACTGCTGTGTCCCCAGCACTCATGCTGCTTTGCTGCTGCTTCATCTTTCAAGAGCCCTAATGATCATGCAGGGGTGTGAAGTGTCAGTCCAGAGGTTCCTGATCTGACTGAGAACTAAGCCATCAAAAAAGGGAGTTTTTCATTAGATGAGCAGGCTGATCCAAGCCGCCTTCCCAGCTATATGGTTGCCAGAGGTGAAGCAGGAAAGAAGAAAGAAAATTCTGCCCAGGGGGCATGGTGAAAAGCAAGCCCTTTCAGTGGCAGCATGGTCTTGCATTAGTTTGAGTCAGCTGTTGAAACTGTACCCTAAAACTTACAGAAACTTTAATATTTTACCAGGAGCAGCTCTCATTTGTACAGAGCTACGGAGGGAAAAAGATCTGCTTTAGATCAGTATGCCATTCTGAGTAAATCCGACAGAAAAATAAAATGAAAGTTGAAAAAATCTTACCCATTTTATAATAAATTACTTTGAAAATAGATCTTTTTYCCCCTTTGTTCTGTTACTATGTTAATGCAGTATGTGAATGGAATACAACAGGTGAAATCTTCTTAGAACTTTCACATTTCTTTAGCCTACTTTTTATTTGGCTACAAATAATATTACAGAATATAAATTGCAACAAGAAGAAAAAACAAGTACAGAAGGATTCCAACAGCTTTCAACCAATATCATTTCTAGCTTACTAACTGGACATAGCTACGCACGTTGAACAGGTCAGCTACAAACAGCATTAAAAGGGAGAACCAGGGTCTGTCCATGCTTTATTTGTCCATCATGCTGAGAAGCATTTCGCATGTCACTTCTGTCTTCTGTTTGCTCGGAGCTGCTCTTTCTATTCCATCTAAAACAGGAACAACCTCAATAGCACAATGTTCATCTTTCACAGTGGAGACATCTTGAAAAGACTCCAAGCCAACTGTGGAAAAAAAAAATACATATATATAGTGGTGATTAACCAAGAAAAGAAATACTTCAATAAATTTAATTACACAATTAATTTAGTGGAGAGAATACTTTCAATATTAACACATCTCATCATATGAGTACATTTAGTTTGAATAGAGCATTACAAATTCTGTTAATGAGCAGTACCCATGGATTCTTATTAGGGGAATGCTAAACATTATTTAACTAGAAGTTTACTTCCTGTACAAGTACTTTCTTTTTTTTTTTGTGTTTAATAACAGCAAGTCATCAACTGTCATCAGTTGTACAAATATTTTCTAAAAGAGCAAAGTTATTTAGATTATGTGATCTTTTATAAAGCTACACAGGCCCTTGCAAATTGTGAAGAGAAATGTATGCTCCCAAAAAAGCCAATTCCAGGAATAACTTCTGCAATCAGCAACAAAATTTACAATATTTGTGCAAGAGAATTAACAGACTGAGTATTTATATGAGCAACACCTAAAGAGCCATAATCTCTATTTAGAAAACAAAGCTTCCAGCTGAAGTGATCCACAAGATACCAAAATGATATAATTTGCACATAGCAAAACATTAATAAACAGTAAAATCTAGTTACTGCAAAAACAGAAACACTGCAGCTGTAGCATTTCCTTCTAAATATACCATTACAGCTTTACCAGTGAAAACACAAGTGTCAATGCTCATGTAAATTCAGCTGCTGATATATATATTCATTAGATTCAGAAAAACATCAACGTTGCTTCTTTTCACTACGTCATATTGAAATGGCACCATGTCTCAGTGCCATTGGCCACAAATCATATACATATGTGTAGACACAACCTGGTATAAAAATGTAAGGTTTTGGAACACCTAGGCCTTCAGATACATCTCCATTCTTCAGGCTTTCTCCACAAAAATCACCTTAAGAATCATATCAAGATGATTATCAKGGCCTTCAAACAGTATCTGCGAGTCAGACAGGCCAAAACTAACAGGATGCTCTGGTCAGGTGCRTGTGTATATASGTATGCACATATATATACACATATATGTATTTTTTTAGGCTAATGAGAAAATATTGGGAAGCAAAGGGAAGAGGAGAAAAGAGATTACTCTATAGTCTATATGCAAAACTATAGAATACTCAGTGCTCAAGAGTTATCTACAGTAAGTAATACTCGGTAATTACAAGGGTCTGAGCACATATCTTGAAACAAGAGCCCCAAAAAATGGCTTGATCATTTTTGTGGCCAGTGGAAGGCAAAAATCTAGACGTTTAAACCACTAGCACTTTTATTWTTATTTGACCATGCGAAAGTATGACAGAAAGAAGAACAACTTTTGTTAAGTTGTAGTAGCTCTACTGTGATTAACATCTGGTTTGAATTCTGAAATTGGAGAGTTTTCAAGCTGGTCTGTGTTTAAAGTAGTATCTATTACCAAAAAATGAGCTCTTAAGAAAGCTCACTATGGTTCACCCAGAAATGATAAGGGAAAATTGAATGTTTAAAATAGAAAAGAAAAATGCATTTGTACACTTTACTGAGTAGGGACTTTAGGAAAACATATGCAGGAGCAGGAGAAAGGTAGTTCTGGAACGGGCACCTGAGCAATGACCCAATCTCAGATGTCTACAATTTTGACACATAATAAAGACTTTTCCAGAGCATTCTTCTATTATTAGCACTTAAATAAGCTTCATTGTGAAACAGTAATTAAACAGCAGGAGAGATTCACTGCCTTAGCCTTTTATTCTTGAGTCTAATTTACATGATTAAATTCTAACTTATTTGCTGATTACCTTCTTGTTTCACATGCCTTAGGTTCTCACGTTTTTTCTTTTTGCCCTTGCTTCTTTTTCTGGATGCAACAGCTTTTTCTCTCACCAATCCACAATTTTCAGTATGTTTATGCATATTACTCTGTTAGCATAATGAAGCATAAATATATGAATCAATATTAATCTATGTAAGCACTTTAATACCAAAAAAATACAAATATGGTTCTGATAAGCACATTYTGGAACATTAAGTGAATGTCTTAGTTACTAACTTCCTTGAACTCCTAAAGATCTGCCCAGGATATATACTGAAATTAAATAGTTTAAAGGAATTCTGTTACTTGACGGGTATAAAATAATATGTATTATCTGATTCACAGATAAGCCATATGGTCTTTCAGATCTAATGTAAAAGGGGCTGCACTGGCTTTTGAAGCTAATAGTTTGCTTTTATAGTTAATCAAAAAGCAGTCATAAAATCGCATATTATGTGAAAGTAACACGAACAATAATTTCATATTTTCCTTGTTAAACTGGCCCTGGAACTCATCCCTTCAATCAGCCCTCCAARCACTTCTGTTTGTGTTAAAATTTATACCTCTATATGACGTTTGTATTTGTTCTGAGGAGGCTATTGTACTCAACACTARTAATTCCAACATGGTGCTGTAGAAACTGGTAGCACCCCCTGAAAMTACCACCTGAAAGATGTTTTATACCTTGAAATGGAAAAATATGTTACTAACATAAGGCTTGGAAAAAAAAMCACAAAAAAACTGCTGCTGGCTTAGCACTAAGAGGTTAACATTTTAGCCAGCACCCTGCTTTTTATTTTCTGTACATGATATGCAGCACTTAACTAAAGATAACTCCACTGAGATTCCTTAAAAGGAAGCATCTTACCCAGCGTGAATAGCCCTTACCACATTTAGGGCATTCATAAACTGGAGGTTTAAAATTGGAATCGTGGTGCTTCCTGAAGTGCACTGTGAGAAGCTGCTTGCGTCGAAAGCTTTTGCTGCAGCACAGGCAAGTGAAGGGCTTCTCACCAGTGTGGGTTCGTTTATGGACAATCAAGTGTCGTTCCTGAAACAACATCAAAAAAGTACATGCAACGTAAGTACCCAACTTGGTGACGTGTTCAGAAGACACACACAGAAATACAAGGACCTTTCCCAGGCCCCTTAATAACCTTCATGCCAGGAGATGCCAAATAATATCTTAGGTTAACATCTACTGACTAGGAGAAGGTCAGAAGAGATTATCATCCTAACTTTATTCACGTTAACAAACAAGATAACCAGAACCAAAGGTAGCATACGACCAAACCTACAGTTTTCATTTTTTTTTTTTTAAGTCCGAAATAAAATTAAATTCTCTTATTCTCTTCTATAAAACTGAAAGTTAGCACAGAATCATGAACTCTCTATTTTGAGTGTTTTTAGAGCTCTCAGCATCTCTTCTCCCCACTTTCTTCGGAAATTCCACTCCCGTTGAGCTGCTATGTCTGTGACCTTGCAGTAATCCTCTGCTGAAATCCAATCATTTCTCAAAATTTGGAGACAGTAATATACCAAATATTATCACACTTTTTAATTAAAAAAAACAGTTCAGATTCCATTCTGACACTGCTGAAATGTGTACTTGCAAGTAATTTGTTCTCATCAAAACATCAGCAAAAATGACTGCTCTTACACTCCTTAACAGTTCATGTGCAAAGATTTATCTGATAGCTATAGACTTTTTTTGCATTCCAGTTTTACTGTTTTTTCCCCATCAACAATTTATCTTGCAAATAAATACAACTACAGTATTTTAGTAAGACTGCAGTAACAAAAACTTTTGTCTTATTAAGGTAAATATATTCCCAAAGGCAACCATACCTTATCAACAAGCAATTCAATAAGCAATCATTTCTCAATCACATACCTGCTTGCATGCATAGTTGCACTGATCACATTTGAACCTTTTCTCATTTCTGTGGGTCTTCTTGTGCTGAGTAAGAGCGTAGCGCTCATGAAAAACAGCTTCACAGTAACTGCATTTAATTGCCACYGCCATGTAGGAATGCAGATTTCGCAAGTGGACACCTAAACAGTTAGTAAAAGCAATTAATTTTAATGGTAAGTTGTGAATTTCCACAATTCTGCATAAGAGTTTGATTGTGCCCGAGTATGTGCATATGTGGTAGAGCAAAATACAGAAGAGCCTTCTGTGTTCCTTATTACAAGGGCAAAATCCATAGAAAATGTACTATTGACCTCAACCCCAGAAAGCATGAGATTTGGCTCTCTCGGGTCCCAAATAGCCAGTTTTTCAGTTACTACCTAAAGATGCACTAATAATTGTGTTTTTAGTAATAAATAATACAGGACACTGGGGCTTTCCAGGGAAATTAAACRGTTTATAAGCATAAGTCTCATCAATTTCCATGGAAATCAAACCCTTTTGAAAATGATAATAGGTCCTTGCTTTTACCTCTGTACACAATTAAACGCTACATAAAGTAGTATTTACAATAAAAAGAGCAAAGAAAGGGCATATATAAATAACAATTGCATTTCATATTTCTACTAGTATTATATTTCAAAGGGAACTTTATTTGAAAATACAAAGAGATACAAAAGGCACCTAAAAGTTTTTTTTTTTTTTTTTTTGTACGTGCATTGTATCATTTGTGACTGTCACAGACTGCTACCTCAAAAATCGTTTCTGGTAGTGATCTAATAAAATTTAGAATTCTAAGGATTTTCCATGGAATTAATGAAGTCAAACTTAAAAGTTAACTTGTATTTAAGTAAAGCAATTTCATGTATTACTCTAAAGCACAAGGATGATGTGCTCAGCAACCAAAAAAAAAAAGCAGAAAAATTAGAAGTAAAGGCTTTTGTATAAGCTCAAACATACATATAGTAAAACGTTCCATTTATTTTAGTTTTCCACTTTGCTACATGGATATTTGTATACTGGCTATACCCAAGAAGGAAACAGAATGAGAGAAGTGAAATGGCTCCATGCAGATTTGCTCTGTTTTCTGCAGCTTTAAGGAAAAAATCAGCAATATAYATGTAAATTTTCGTGAGGAACCTTCTCACTGGAAAGAAAGCCCCAATGCAACAGGTATTGAGTAAAAGAAAGCTAAAATTCTCATTTTAGCCATAAAACAAAGCAYCAACCACAAGATGTCGCCCCATCTCCTTGCAGAAAGAAGTTACATTTAAATCAATAAACACATTTTCTCTGGAGATATTCTACAATGATACAAAGTCAGCATAAGCAGTAAAAATCAGATATAATTAATTATTTCTAATTTCATTTTTTTTTATATTTTTACTTTTTTTTTTTTTTTTTTAACTCACCCAGATCACTTTTTCGTGCAATAAACGTGCTACAATGTGGACACTGGTATTTTGGCACGTTTTCACCATGCTTTTGTAATATATGGATTTTCATTGTACCACTTTGAGTGAATCTGGCCTGGCAAATGTAACATTCATATGGCTTYTCACCTATGAAAATCAAAAAACAGTACAGATTTTGAAGCACTTGCCTCCAGAATTGATAAACACAAAATTCCCACAGACAGGCATTATTAACAGCATCAGTTGCCAGGCCCACCAAAATCCTCCTGGTAACAGATAATGCACAAAAGTCTCTACAAGTTTATGAGGCTGATTATCCTGCAAGATCTTGGGACTGTAGTATCTGTGCATCAAATTGGCAAAACTATAAAGCCATTAATACAATCCTAAATTATTAATTGCCATTTGTTTTAATAATCATTTGTTCTGTTTGGAATACTTCATATAAAATAATGATGGTCAAAYGTGAAAGAAGAGTTGAAGGGGTGTAAACTTTATGTGATTAAAAAAATAATGCAACAAAAGCCACTGATAATGGGGGAAGGTAAGTTCTTTTCTTATCTTTCTTCCCCAAAATGTTTCCCATGTTTTTATTCAAAATGATAAATGGAAAACTGCTTTTCAGCGGTTACATTTTAGAGTCTGAAATTAGGTCCCTTTAAAGTAACTGGTAAAGCTATGAATTTTAAAGCCCTCCAGGAGACGTAGGATTGATTACACCAGAAGTCCTACCTGAATGGGTCACCATGTGTCTTTTCAGTTTATATGTGTCTTTGCTCGCGTAACTGCAAAGGCAGCAGGCGTAGGGACGCTCTCCTGTGTGCGAACGGATGTGCCGCTTCAGCTTGCTCGCCTGTCGTAAAAACAAGACATTTTCTGCAATAACATTCACATCCCGAAAGCACAATCAATTAAAATGTATGCAGTGTTACAAAATAATTCTGCTGCAATTTATTTTCAACCCCAAAATTAGTCCCTTCCCAATTTTCCTGTACAATCAGATTTTTGTGGGTTTGGTTAGGCAATACTTCTCTCCCCTTCCTCCCTAGTTTCTTGTTTCCTAACACCTGACATTAAGAAAAGGAGAAACTTCATAATGAGAYAATAAAGGGTAGAATTTCTAAATCAGCAAAACTGGATTCCCAACACTTTCAGGCTACTTTGGTAGCCTCAGCCTAAAGCAAATGTAAAATGCTTTGAAAATAATCAGGAAAAATAAATGAAAGCCAGAACTCACTAATCGAAGTGTTTATTCATCTTCAAGTCCCACTGAAACAATCTCATTACAAAAGTTCAATTCACTTCACCGTGATATATTRTTCCTATGATATGTCCCATACAAATACTTCAGGTATGCAACCTAAAACTAGGATTCCCTAATGTGGAATTCCTCCACTGATAACCACACCACATAAACTCACTGCTAAATGCATTTAAAACAGCAGCACCATTCACTTGAGTAAAATTATGCATGATATCTCCTATACAAAAGTTAAACCAGAGGCATGGGGYATTAGGGGTCTCCTTGTTCAGGTAAAGCTTACAGCAGTATCAGTGACAGTTCTGCAASAGCAGTGAGTGCTGCATAATTTGTTACCGAATCAGAGGATAAAAGTGTCCCTCAATATAAACTGAAAAGGTTTCTAAAGATAAAAGCTATTCAAAATCTAATTACTAACATTATGTGGGTAGAATAAAGTTTAGTCTGTCCTACAGTTTTAGATCCTGATGCAGATGTAAGAACTTAGGTGCTGATTATCTACTGACACAATCATGACAGTGATATATTTAGTCACAGGTGCATGACCAAAAGCTTCTTTTTCCCCAGTGAACCCTGAGGCAGTTTCTAATTTTTTACAGATTAAGAAAATTTCAATCCTGTAACAAAAACAAACAACATCAAGCGCATAAACACTGTCTATTAGCTTCACTTCCTTRGCCAGTCTTGCTGTCCACAGTATATTCAGTGAAGAAGAAAAACATGTGTTTTTTGCAGGATCACATTAACAYGAATACATTATCTAGCAGCAGTTTAGTACATTTTTAAAAATCCTTATTTTTAAAAGCTAAGTAAATGCACACATAGTAATTTCAAAGTAATTCATTTATAAATATTACTATACGGACAAAGTACCGAGTYAAGGAATCCAGACTACTTTTTCCTTTCCTGAAAGAAGATGGGGAAGAAAGAAAAATGTGCATAAATATGACAGGTGTGCCTTCAAAAACTTTTATTTATCTGGTATCATACACTAATTTTGCAATAATGTACTAGAATAATGGAATTCAATACTTCAGTGTAGTCCAAAGGCCATTTGAGGAACATGGCCTTAACTTTAACCATATGGGCAGATTCCTGGTTCCTGGATGCTGTGGCGCTCCCTGCTTTACCTCTATCTCACCCTCTGTGGTCTGCCTTCCAAGTAGGAAGGTACTGCAGCAACCACAAGCTTGGCTATTCCTCCCAACTCAGCAAAAACATTCACCCACATCACCATGGAGACTTTCACCAGCACAAATCAAGCCAGCTAAATATTAATAACGCAGCCTGACAACTGTTATTACCTCTGTAATTTACTGGGCTGATCTCCGATATAAACTTGACAATAAACAAGGGCAATATAGGCAAGATACATGCACAGGTAGGTCCCTGTCTAGCAAAAACATTCTTAACACACAGTACATTGAGATCTTAGTATCTGAAAGTCTGCAAGGCTTCCCAAAAGATAAAGTAATGCTGCACTTACTTCCACGCTAGAATATTTACATATTGAACACTTGAAAGGCTTTTCTAAAGTATGCTTGTAACGTCTGTGTCTTGCAAGCTCACCACTGGTCACAAATGCCATATCACAGTCACAGCATTTATATGGTCTGGTCCCTGTAAGAATATATCAAAACTTAGATTTTCTTCATTAAAATACACAACAATGCTTTTTTTTCCCCCCCATCTTTTCCTATCTTAAATAAGCATGCATAAGCATTTTTTACATATATAATTATTTTTGAGAACCCTAATTTTTATAGACAATAAACATACACCTTAGATTTATTATAAATAAGGGGTGTAACAAATTGCTTAATTTAGTTAAATAGCAAAAGAAAAAAAAAAAAGAAAGAAAAGCAGAAACAGGACACAATATATCTAGAAATCATAACCAACTGAAGCCTAGATTCAGTTGAAAAATGTGTAACGATACCTAACAAGATAAATGCATTCATATACAGAGACTTAACTGCAAACCACATGCTTTCGGGGGAAACTCTCAGAAAAATCTGTGAAAATTCTATGAATAACTGCATATGCCCTTTAAGACAAATTCACCTATTAAATTTTGCAGRCAATGTGTAAAAATAAAGAGCTACCTGTATGTGCATTCACGTGGTTACGCAGGAGAGTTGCTGTACGAAAAGCCTTAAGGCAGAGGTGACACACGTGAGGTTTTTCATCAGAATGGGTTTTCACGTGACGGTTAAGACTTGATATTCTGAGCGAGGTGAATGGGCACAAATCACAGCTGAAAACTGCTGTGAATACAAAGACACATTTACATCATATAAGCCACAAAATGACGACTTGACTTTTTCAAAAATAGCACCAACTTCAGTATAGTTCCTCTAGTCTGGATGAAATTATTTCACACTATTGCAGTACCTTTAATAGAAAGACTTCAAAATGCATCACAAAAAAGTTGGGATGTCAGACAGGAATTATTATAGCTATTTAAGACTGAAATGATTCATCCAAAAATAGTCCAATGAGTGATATAGCTTAGAACCTAAACCCAGGAAACCTAACTCCTAGTCTAGGTTTCATCTCCAACACAAAACAAAACTTCCTTCTCGTGATGGTATTAACAGTTGGCTCAACGGACCCTTGGCAACACTCAAGTGTGTTGTAAGTATTAATTGAGCTTGTTCAAAGAACTCAAAAGGGCAGATTAAGATATCGTGAGCTTTCTTGTAGGCCTAAAACCATAAAATAGAATTTATTATGATTTATATTTTATTAAAGTTATAAAATCACTAGCTGAATTTGAGGAAAGATAGAGCAATTCCTTGAAGAAGCCAAAAGATGTTGGTTACGATCCTTCCTGGATTACATAACATTTCCAAACTCATATCAYAGTGATAATGAATTTTGGTAGACAGTAATAAAGATGAAATACGACGGATTTCTAGTTTTGAAGAAGATCCAGAACTGCCAAATGGCAAGCACTTTCATGTATGAAGAGCCTTTCCAGTACAGCAATCTCAGCTCCCAAGCGCACTCTCTGTAGTGATTTTCATGTTGAGATCAAAATGTATTTTATTCAATGCTTTAGAGCACAGAAATGTGCCGCTAACACTCCATTTCAATATCAGCAAACAAAAACACTTTATTGCTTTTTACTCATTATGGATTCATGCCCAAAGAACAGTTATAGCTTTGTTAAAGCTATTCAAATGTTCCCTACAAACACAGGTTAAAACAAGAGGTATTAAAAATTGCTACAATATCTGTATTTTAATCAATCTTGTCCAGCATATCTTAATATTCAATTTTCAAACATGCATTCATAGATTCAACTCTACTGATGCAACCCAACTATTATAGTGCATACAGTTTTTTGAGAAACTGTGGTACCTCCATTCCCTTCTAAATAAACCTTAACTTCTGAAATATACTTCTGTGTTTCTTCAATCACCTATTTTATGCTCCTTTTATTTAGATTCTGGTAGATACCCTGATCAGTATTTTCCTGCAACTGTTTCTCAGACTGTAGCTTGGAACCATTCTAAGCTCATCCACAATCCTTACATGGACATTTTGAAACAGAATACAGGAACTACGAAAGACTAAGCACTTTATCTGGCTTATTCAAAGGCATTTATACATATTATTGACATTGAAAGCTCCCTGAAGGTTTCAAGTATTGCACACTGTTCAAAACATTATTAATTTCTAAATGCTACCCAAAATCTCTCTCCTGACGCTACACAGATGCCATCAAACAGTATCTTCCTCACTTAGGGCTGAAAAGCATTATCCCTTCCTCTCCATTTCCCATAGAAATGAGATTTAACTAATCCAAACCTAACAATAAGCACTGTGAAAGTTTCCTATGCCATTTCAACTTCACTACTAAATCTGATCTAAAATATTTTATCTAAGAAGGAACTACAACTAGTCACGTTTTTACCTTTTTTCTGATACGAAGAGCTAATTGGAGATTTTAGAGATCTGGGGGTTTTGGTAGAAGTTTGCTCAGATGGAGTCACGTATTCCTGCTCTTTATTGCATGAAACCAACGAATCACTACTGGCTTTACAGTCCAGGCTCTTTCCTTCCTCAACACCAACAAGTTCCTTTTCTGCTCCTTCTTCAGATGGGATAAACGGCTGGACCTTACTTTCAAGTGCAATGACCTGTTTATCAGTGTCAAGCTATTTAGAAAAAAGAAACAAAGGGTTAAAACTCTCCTAATCAAAAGAAGTCACTAGTGACACAGAAACCAAGTCACCAACAAATAGCCAACTACCAACGCATTTAAATTTTCARCCTAAATGCAATGGACAGCACTGCAATAAAAGTCTGCATTTAATGTGCAGTAGCGAAAGTGGAAGATGAGCAATTTTTAAAATTGAGTCCTATTTCCTCAAAATTTTATATGAAATTTTGGAGCATCTTTTTGAGAATAAAGCACTCAAAACACAAGCTTACATCCTGAAATATATTTTAACTTTTAAAAATGAAATTGCAACACATTTACCTTTTAAAATAAAAGGCCAAAGAAAATATGTTCCTTTTAAAAAAATTTTTTTAAAGAGGACTTGGACAGCCAGCTTGTAATGTTTATGCATTGTTCTTGGCCATTAGGCAATTAGTAAGGTCCCTAGATTTTTTGCATTAGATAAATTTTTAAATAATCATACCTCTGAAAATATGGATATGAGTTTTGAAAGGGAAAATATGCTTTTTCCTTTAAAATCATCGGTTAGCATGGTGTTAATGCCAGCTGTTGCATGTTCTTTCAATACAACGCATTTTAAGTGAAAAGAATTTTTAAAAAATTATATTTACGTCCAATTAACATGAACGCTTAGGCAAAATAATGTTAAAACCAGAACAATATCAGCATGATACTCAGATGCCAACAACTTTTGCATCAGTCTTCACCGTGCACTGAACTGATACCTTGATCAGCAGCACGTCCATGGGGCTCTGGGTCCTTTCTGGGTGACTCGCTTGCGCCCTGTCCTCCACAATATTAATCTGCATCCACTCCAGGTCATAGAAGGCGCAGAGCCCGTCGGGCGCACCGAGGGCCACGCCGGCGGGCGGCTCGGGGCGCGCACCCTGCCCCGGCAGCAGCAGCGGCACGAGGCCGGCGCTGTGCGGCCCCGCGGGCGCCCCGCTCGCCGGGCCAGCCTCGTGCTCGTCGTCTTCGCCGGCCTTTAGTCGCACTGGCTGCAGAGTCAGCAGCTGCTTCTCGCCCTCTTCGGCGGGCAGGGCCCACTCGGGGGGGTTGTCTCCTTCACCCAGCGCGGCGTCTCCAGCAGCGTGGGCGCAGGCGTCGGGCTTCTCCGGCGCCCGGGCTACCTGGTCCTCGATGGCCTCTTCTCCTGACCTGCTCCAGCTTTTCTCTTCCGTCTTGATTTTGGTGAAAGGCTCCACCAGAGCGAAGGCCACGTCCATCGCTGAGCCACCCTGGCAAGGGAGAAAAGCAGGAGAGAGGCCTTTGGGACCAGATCCCCCTGACTTGCTGCCAGCAGGGAAGGGCTGCAGGGCTCCCTGGTCCAACGTGGCGGCCATGCCCCCTGCCCACTCCCCACTCCCCCCAGCAAGCCCCCACGCCATGCCGCTCTCCTGACCCTCACCTCCAACCTCCTCCAAGCCCAACCGGACCCAGAGGCCACCAGATGGGCCCAGCTCCTCCTGTCCTCAGGGGGCGGCGACAGCAGCAAGGGCCCGGCCCTCGGCCCTACCGCCGTGCTGGGATAGTGCCGGAGATGGGGGGAATGTGTCCTTGGCCAGGTTATCCCTGGGGGAAAGCGGCTCCTCGCCTCCCTGTCCCACCAAGGGCAGCACTGGCTTCAAGCTCTGCCCTTCGGCTGCTGCCATGGCCTCCCCACGGCCTCGCATCGTGCTTCATGTGGGGACATGGCGGCCTGGCCTCACAGGGGAGCAGGCTGGGGCAGCGCTGCATGAGCACCATTGCGCTGTGCTTTAGCGCAGGTTTGGTTAGTCACTGAGAGAACAAGACGTTTTCAGGTTGAGAGCCCTCCAGAGGCGTTGTAAAAATGGCTTTGGGGCAAACTTGTGAGATTAGAGAAACTAACATTTAATCTTTTTTACCCTTCAAGGCTAGCAACTTCCAACCTCAAACGTTTTTGTGAGGCCTGCTTGCTGTTAATAAGCTGCTGTACACCAGCACGAAGGAAGGATTTAGAGCGTTATCTCTGAACGATAGCTCAGTATGTTACAAAATATAGCACATGGCAAAGTGCCTTTAGCACAGCACAATTCAAACCCGTTCAACAGTGTGTTGAACCTAAAACAAAAACTAATTCAGGGTTTACTTACCTATGTAAGTAGCACATTAAACCCAGCATTTTTTGAAATACCCTTAGTACAGTTTACACTGCTTGATATCCAGGATCCACACATGCCATTTTCCACGAATTTTGTCAGGGATGATCTTATTTCTACACTTTGAGTACCATACAACATCATTGGAAAAGGCAGCGATCCCAATTCCTGCAGAAGATCCATCCCTAGGAAGTATTAGGGTTGTATGGGTGAGGCTGCTGTAACAAGTTGCAGAAAAGAAAATAAAATAAAACCTGTACATCTTGAAAAACAGATCTCATACTGAGTCTGTTTTAAAGCCTTACTGGGTTTTTCTTCAGAGATGACAATTTCTGTAGCTCCCACAAAAACACTCTAGACAAGAACTGATCCTATCCACAAGTCTGTAGGATCCTAAGGGCAGGAACAATATATCCTCATCTTTTATATTAAATAAATGTGAGTTATTCAGTACAATTAAATTCATAACTATTATTTCTGTAAACTTGAATAGTCATCAGCATCCAAGTGCTGTCCTGCCTTGTACTTCTGCATTATGAATAAGAGTACCATCCATGCAGCTGTAGTTAAAAGTCTGTCATTATTTCCATTATAAACTGATGTTTCCTAAAAAGGATTTATAACTCAAACACAGAACAGCATTTCAGTTCATTTTTCTTGAATTTAAAGGAACCACTTGGATCAGCAATCTAGAAAGTCTACCGCTCTCAAATTACATTTTGACACAGTGGAGGTTAATGGCTCTGCAGTGGCTGTTCCGGTCTATTGTGTCTACATTCTCTACAGTAACCAATATTGTCTGCTGCATCACCTATCTTTAACTTCACTCAAGCTTTTACCCACTCCTCTGAAGGGTCCATTCCTTTCTAACAAATCAACAGTCTGCATTTATATCACAAAAAGAAGAGAGTACCTTTTTCTTTGTTACACCATAATTATATTTTGTAGCGGTAAACAAATTCAATTTGAATTATTGGTTATTAGGGGTATTTTCTGATAAGAAAATTTCACAAATTTCCCCTTCTCTTGTGCTAAAAATGGTTACATAAAAAACAAAGCTGCAGATAAATTGCTGGTAGGAACCTACCAGTGCACGAAGGTGAACACATAGAGAAGTAAAATTCTAAATCAGCAGACTAAAATCTACTCTTGGCTGCACTAGGGAAACAGAGAATTAGGTGCAATATGTGTTTTACGCTGTGTATAAGCAGCTCAAATACTTTTTACATAAGCAAAACACCAAATTATTTGTTCAGAGACTCACTAAATATAAATAGTGTCTTTCATACCTTTAATAGGCTCAATACTTGGTAGACACAGCTTGACTTTTTTTTTTTTAAAGGTCCATCACCATGTAATAACACATCTTTGACCTTGAGGTTAATTCAAAGTCTTCGGTTTCATTCATTTCCTGTGTTTTAAGAAGTTACTTCAGATGACTGCAGAGACAGAATAAGCAGCCATTATCATGCGTATTTTGCATCTCCATCTTCCTGTCATAGGTCTGAAGCTATAGTCCCTTGATGCCAATAGAAGGTCTGCCATTGATTTAAATGGGTTTGGAATTAGGCCCAGAATAGATAAAATATGTGAAGCAATAGTGGAGCAATTTATTTACAGATTTTGACCTGTCCACAAAACTCAGAGTAGATCAGGACTATTGCAGCATAGGATCAATTCAGGTAATAGAAAGAAAAAAAAAGAAAAAAAAAGAAGCCCCAAGTTTAACCTTACATGCTCATAAGATTCCCATTTATGATATTCCTTCTTGCAGCTGAAACTCCATTTTCATCCAGAACATGACTCCTGGTAGTCTACTAGAAAATCCAGCCATTTTGTTGTGACTTATTTTGACAGCTTTAATATACTATTCCACCTGGTATCTGGAAAGTTTTCCATCACCACTTTCCTGCGGTCTCACTTTTGTTTCCAAGTGCACATTATGTTCACACTACACTCGTCATAGTGGTGTCTATGTGACTAAACACTGGTCTATGAACATATTCCTTTATTTTTCCTTTTGCACTAGGGACAATTGCTACCTTAATCACCTGCTTTGCAGAGAGTTCTGGATCCTAACAGCAGTAAATAATCTTCTCCACTCCATCACCTGTTTCACAGGAACCAAATACAGCATTATAAGCCAACTGAAATGTCTCCTTCAAATATTGTTCACTTACAAAGCTGTRGTCACTAAATGGCTGAAATCTTTCCTCTGCACTTTATGGTGTTATTGTTAACTTGCTGTTCCTTTAGCACTTGCCTTTCACACTGATGAAGCGCTTCTTCAGAGACCGCCAGAAACCTTAATTAAAAAATGAAAGCATGTCAGCTAATGAGCAAGAGAAAAAAATGGATTATGTTCTTCTGTATGCTGATCTAGGAAACAAAGTTGCAGATTCAGAATTTACTTGATTCTCAGGAGAAATTATACATTCTGCATTTCAAAACAGATACTGATCATTTGGAAAGAATGCTATTATTAAAATGGTCTTTTTTTTTTTTTTCCCTAGACATGCCCTGAGATGGGAGTTGCAGTTTATTTCAGCAGAAGTCATTTAGTATTTAGATATGACCTGGATTCACACACAAGAAAGCRTGAGGCTCTGTTCCCATCTCTACTTAAGCTTTTAAGTCTTGTCTATACTTCTAAAGCACTGTCCCATACTGTTAATGATTATAATTATATAACACCACTAAAAACAGGGCATAGCAATAGAGAGCTGTGGCTTATATAAAGGGGGAAGTATTTAACATAAACTTGTTGTGAAAGTACCAGGGCTGATTGCTCAGACCTAAGTCATGGAAGTGGTCTGAAAAAAACATTAATCGCAATTGCAATTTATCTATTARCCTTTTCATCTAAGAACAAAACATATTTAGAAGCAGTTCCACAGTCCAGAAACGCACAATATGCTGCTTAAGGCAGACAACAGACCCATGTTCCTGGGTCTGCCTGGAAGGAGGGTGTTTACCTAAGATGCCCAGTGCTTCTTCCATTTCAAAAGACAACAACAGAGTTGCACAGATAGCTACACCTCGGTGACTTCCACTGTTTTTAGAGAATACTCTTTAATCCCAGAGATAGCAAAGAAAGTTTTAAAGACAACTCCCTTTAGTTAGTCAGTAAAGGTTTTTGCTGCTGGTGGTGCAAGGGTCAGAGAGCTACAAGTTTAAAAGGCAGAAAGTTTTCCGCTTGTTTTGACTAAAGTGGAGGAAACGTGCTAGAGCTGTGCAGAATTTGATTGCCAAACACCAAGTGAAGATACACAGTGAGAAAAGATAGTAAAGGTTTAACCCAGCTGATGTAAGAAACAAAATTCAAGGATGCCCATGTTTCCTTGCTTTTATTGCATTGTTAATCTTTAATCAGAAAAACAGTTCTGAGAACAGTTCTTTGTGCACAGCTAAACAGGCATGAGTGCTTGGAAGTTAATATGATCACCAAAGAACACTATTAAATTATTGTGCTAATAAATCAATGAGTGRGATGTACCAGGACAGAACCCCAAAGAGTTCAAATTCTGCTTCCACGTGGATATGTAGTGTACACATTAAACCTTGCAAAATCAGCACGAAGAAGTTGGTTGGTGGGTTCAGAAGAGCAATGGCTTTCCATGAAATCTCTTTCCAGCTTAGATCACCARTCTCCGCAAGTACTAAAGTTTCCTGCGATATCTTAGTAGAGTTTCTTGATGTTAAAAAACAACAACAACAAAAAACACTGGGCTACAAAAATTAAGGAAATATTTAAAGGAATATATATTAGTGTGACTTCACTGACAGGAGGTGATTTGCACCTTGTTATTCAACAGCAGAGATACCTTAAAACTCAATCTTCCTCCTCCTCTGTTCTTGTAACACACATGATGTCTCTCCCCTACACAATATTTCTATGTTACCATAAGAATAAACAAAATCAGCTTTATTTCCTTTCTCTTTATGATCTTTCACAAGTAAGATGAGGTGGTTAACAGAAAGCAAATGAAAACAGCTAAGTGGCTGGTATGTTCTGAATAATGCTTATTCCTCTGTTCAGAGTTATCTCACTTAGTCTCATATACTGTCATTCATACCCTTCTTTTGTGCCATCTTAAACAATAAGATCTCCTGAGCAGAGCACCCTGTGTGTTTTCATCCAGTAGAATGAGTCACTGCCTTAGTACCACTGCAATGCAAATGTATGAACTGCTCAAGATGAGCAAGTGCGTTTCTCTTTTTCAATTTGCCGTATGCAAGTCGCTTTTCAATTGAACATACCGTTTTATGCTCATATATGGGTGCTTTTCTCTAAGCAAACGGTGTTCACATGCTTATAAGTCAGCCTGAATTAGTCTGGTTACAGATACAGGTGGCCAATCAAGAGAAACAAGTACAGCAGAGTCAGACTTCTRTCTTTATGCTGACCTAAAAGGATATGAGAAGACTACAGTCTCCCGGGCCCAGTTGATGCCTTGGCCTCTTTACTGAGACTGTCATTCATAGCAATAATGATATTTGTGACACTTCTCTGGTAGGAACCATTTACACAGGTCATCAAAGATGGGTTTACATTGAAAGAAATACCCCATTGGGGTCTGTCTGTGTTGCCTTCTTCCTACTGGAAAGGTGCTAAGCAGCTCGTGCACAGTATGTAGGATTGCACCTCACCTATTAACACTTACATCAGGGTTTACCAGTAAACATGTCATCTGTTACAGAGGGATTTCGTTTTTATCATACTGATTTTGCTGCAGCAGTCAGGTTCAAAAAGCACAAGGTTTGTTGTGCTTGACACGGGCAGGTCTACCTTCTGACCTCTGGGTGCCACCCGACTTACTTCTGCACCATCAGCTTCTCTATCCTGTTGTTTTTACAGTGTTACAAAATGCTTGAAATATTCATCAAAGATATTTTCCCGATGAAAATATAGAACAAATCTTGTTTGAAACAGAAAGCACAGTTCAGCCAAGGCTGGTGCTTTTATGCTGCTAGCAAAGCAGAAAACAGGTAGTAGTAAATGTATTTCCTTTTAAGAAAGAACACGTTATTAGCATTACAATAACTTAAGCAGGACCCAGCAAAGATTATTACCTGTGGCCCAGAACATAAATATGATAAGAGATAATGATATTCTCCAATTAGGTTGCAAATGCCTCCACACAGGAACTGTCAAACTAGGAAGAATGCACAAGAATGAAAGCTGTATTATCACCTCCCAGCCCCCTTCCTAGACAGCAGATACAAGTTAGGGACTTAATGTCAGAGAGGAAATCCATAGCAGAAAACCTGTAACAAAATCTAGATTTTTTGAGGTTTCCCAGGCTTACTGTCCAGAGCCTGTTTAGAGAGCTGGCCTAGTGAAAGAGCTATAGGAAGTGCTGTCCTTTGGGTCAGGTTGCAGGTGTAGGGGTGAAAGTGAATGGAAATATTTAAATAAATGAAAAGAAAAAAAATCACACTGCCACTCAGGTCGACAGAGCTGTGCAGGTTGTGCTGAAATGGTCCTGCATGGAGAGCTGCTTCTGAGCAGGGAAAACAGAAGTGGAGACCAGCACAGAGTGGGACGGAGCAAAATTCAGGGTTCTGTCATCTCAGATAAAATAAATCATTTTTCAAAAGGTGATGGCATTTCATTGCATAGGGCCCGAGACTGTGAAATCTTTGTCAAAGGACACAGCAGAAACCCAGTAATCATGAGGACACCAGAAGACTTCTATAGAACAGGTTGAAATATCTCCTGCTGCTCGAAACTGTGTGGGTTTCTTACAAGGATATTTATCATTTGTCCCTGCCACAGGTAGGAAGCAGGGAGTCCTTGACAGCTGCAGACACAGCTACGTRGCAAACATTTCGCTCCAGCAAGGGTTACCCATTTTTATTTGCAAAGCTGATTYTTGTGCCATCTGGGCTTCATATGACTGAGCTGAGCAGATGCTGCATAGGTGAAGGGAAACACACAACCTTATGCTGTCTGTTTTCCACTCTGTTTAGTACAGTTTGTCCCCTTCCCTCCCAGCTCTGTTTCTGCTGTGCATCCAGCCAAAAAAAAAAAAAAAAAAAAAAATTGTTTTAACCACGCAGAATCATAGCTATTTTCTTATCACCCCTGTTTTAGCTAGGATAAAGTCAATCAAGCTCTTCTTGGGCCCAAACTCTACATGGACCTCTCAGATCCTCCACAATAGAACAGGAGAGCTCCCAAACTCACCCTTTGGAGGTTTACCTGCCCATGGCTGCTTTTCAGATATCAGCAGCTACAGAGCCTTACCCAAATAGTCCCACTGATGCCTGCTGTGAATATTATGCAGAAGAGTCCCCACATGATAGTCACAGGTGGGGAAGGGTGCTCCTGTGAATCCTCTGAGCATGTGGGACAGAACAACCACAAAAGGATCAGCAGTAAAAACAGAGRGTGAGGCTAAACATCTCTAACCTCTCTAGCTACTGGAAGGATCTCCCATGTCAGAACTGCTCCATGGTCTGGATCTCGGTTCTCTTGTGCTGTTAGGGTGACAGTTGAAGTCAGTGGAAAAGCAGAATTAAAACCATAGTGTCCTTTACAGAGTCAGCATACAAGCCACAATACCACCCTGCCCTAGGCTCCAGCCTTCAGTCTYTGCAAGAGAAAACGAGAGAGAAAACCTTCACCTTCCCTTGGTGTCTATAACCACATCTCAGAGCCCACAGAAGTCTGTAGGAAGGCCCCAGAGTTTCTTTGCCAAAGCAGAGGAACAGCAAGCGAGAAAGCCATCTGCCTGGGGCATACTGCTGGTTTGGCATCAGGTACTGTGCCATGGCAAGGAATTCTCCTAAAGCAGAGCTCAGGGCTGAGCTCTCAAGGTGACACTAAGCACACCCAAGGTTCATGACTTTGATGAGGAAACAGAAGCACGTACATGTACATGGCGATTTCCTTTGCTTTACCCGTGGGTCTGGGTAAACTTGGGCAGCAGCTAATTCACTGACAATTGCCCAAAGAATCTTAAAAAGGAAAAAAACAAAACCAAAAATCCCTATCATAACAAAACAACAGGTCTGAAGTGACAATTTCTAGGCTGATGAGCAAGGGGAGGAGGGAAGGAGCCGTATATGCCAGTAATAACTTTCAAATCTCATTGAGTGCTTCATCGCACCTCTCTGTATTAATGA